ACCAGAGAGGCCTGACATGAGACAGAGCTGGCTGCTACTCTCTCCACGGCCAGAACTAGAACTAAGCTAAGCGCCTTTGCTCAAGGTTGTTGGATAAATGGGAGGGGAAAGGGAAGCCAATATTAGAAAGACTGAGAACTTTCTAACACTGGTCTAAAGCCATGAGGCATAAGGCTGAGATGCCTGCAAATACATTTCAAAAGTTGTCCTGACTGTATTCTCCTACTAAGCTGGATTATAATGTTTTGGCTTCCACAATATGGTTCTGTATGGTCTGTGAGTTACTACCTTGGATTTTGGACTCAGAAAAGCAGTAAGATTGGTGTTGAGATGAGTAGAAAGAGGTATGGGGAGCATGGGAGACATGTCTGACCGCATGAGAACTGGTTTTGTGTTACTGATGCTGTTGATAGGGTCAGTTCCCCTTTGTGAAGCTGGTAAAGGTCAAATGTGGACAACCTCAAGTAGCCCTGGTTCTTTTTACAAAAACCTTGGGAATATACTAAAAACTATATGTTTTAAAAAGGATAAATTATCTCTCATTTTCTTTTTAAAAAATAAACTTATCAAAATTGAAAGGAAAAACAGAAAAATCTACCACAGTTGGAAAATTTCCTCTCTCCAACAAGCAAACTAGTCATTAAGAACAGAGATTTAAGTGGCACAATTAAAAACTTCAGCTAATTGGCAGATGGGATGCAGAATCCAACAGCTGCTGACAAAAAGCTGTCATGTATTAAGCACTCACTATGGGCCAGGACTGTGCTTTGCATGAACCTCATTTCATGATCTTTTATTGTCACTGCTCTCTTGATAGATCAGGAAAGAGAGACTAATCCAAAGTCACCTACTTGCTCTTATCTTCCTTACTCGATTTTCAAAGCAACCTGACTAGAATCTTTACTCATACACACAATACCCTATGACGCCGGAGTGAGTGACACGTGGTGCAGGCTGAATAAATACGAACTGTTAATGACCTCCCACAGCAATAAAAATACAGCTCTCCCACCAACTGCATACAAGACATGAGAAGAAACGGCAAAACAGTAACAAGAGGGAGGTGGGAAATCACAGGGTCACAGCGTTTTGATGGGTGGAGGGAGGCAGTGAAGAAACAAGGAAAGATCCAGTGGGGATCGGAAAAGATGAGGTTCTAGTGGGCATATATCTATGGTGATTAACTGTATTAGACACAATGTATGGGAATGATAATAAGGTAAAAAAACCCAATCTTTTTTAAAATAGCAGCAATGTACTAAGCTCTTACTATGTTGCAAATACTTTCCAATCATGATCTCATTTAATCCTGTGGACATTGCAGGAGATAGGTACACTTATCCACGCTCTATAGACAAGGTGAGACCCAAGAATGATTTTCCAACAGCATGCTACTCCTTAGCAGGAGGACCAAAAAAACTAAGCAGCTGCGAGCTACTCCTCTCACTGCCAGTTACTGATGCCTCACCATCTTCACCACCACCCTGCCTTTAGCAGAGAGATTTAAATTGAGCAGAATCAGGGCACTGAAGCTCTTGTGCAGGGTTTTATAAGGATGACATTATTCATATGTCAAAGCCTATAGGACTATACAACACAAACTGTAAACTTCAATAAAAATTATGAACTTCAGTTAATAATCATGTATCAATATTTGCTCGGCCATAACAAACATCCCACGGGGATACAAGATGTTATTAAAAAGAAGGAACTGTGTGCACAGCAGGTATGTGGAAACTTAGTCCATCCTGGATAATTTCCCTGTGAACATAAAACTCATCATAAAAATAGTTTCATCAACATAGAGTATTCCTTATGGTATTGGATCCCTGAGTAGGCTAAGACATAGATGACAGAGGTTTTACAAATGAAGAAACGAAGGGAGAGCTGTTTTTACAGGGTGCCCAGACACGTACCATGCAGTGATCAGTAGAATCTTTTAAGGAAGGAAAAAGACAGTAAATAGCATATCTAGCGATCTTTATGAAATTGCAGATCTAGGATTCTTTTTGAATTGTCCATGATTTCATCTTACTCGGATCTGTCATCAACACTTTTCCTACTAGCAGTCAGAAGATGAGGAGACATATTACACTGGGCAAGTCCACTGTCAAGGACCTCTCCAAATTACAGAGGAGCAATGATGTCAGTTTGACCACTAATGTGCAACTGATTCAGGCCATGGTCTTTTCAATCACTTGGTATGCATCAGTGAGCTGCACAATAAATAAGGATGGTAAAAGAATTGATGCCTTTGAGCTCTGGTGCTAGAGAAGAGAACTGAATATCCCATGGACTGCCAAAAAAACCCCACAAACCACCAAGCAAGTATGTCTTGGGAAAAACGTAGCCAGAGTGTTCCTTAGAGGAAAGATGGCGAAACGTTGTCTCACATATTTCAGGCGTGTTGTTAGGAGAGACTATCTCTTAGCAAGGGGCATCATGCTTGGAAAGACAGAGAGAGGTGCAGCAGAAGACAGGCAGACCTTCAATGAGATACACTGACACAGATCTCAAGTATGTCAGAGATGATGAAGACGGAACAGAATAGGACACGGTGAAGATTCATTGTTCACTGGGTCGCTACGAGTCATTCTTGATTCTACAGCACCTGACAACAACAACTGAGCTCTTTTGTTGTTGCTGTGTGCTGTCAAGTTGATTTCAAATCATAGTAACCCCATAACCCCATGCGGCAGAGCAGAACTGCCATACCAGGTCTCCTCACCTATAACAGACTGCCACATCTTTCTCCTGCAGAGTCACTGGGTGGATCCGAACTCCCAACTTTCCAGTTAATAGCTGAACACTTCACTGTGTGCCACCCACGTCCCTAAGGGCTCATTAAACAGACTCTAAAATGAAAAGCTTCTGTTTTGTCCTTTAACCAACACATTTTTATTCCTTTTTTTATTATACTTGCCCAGGTTTTATGTTGATGATAAATATGAGCTTATAGTGATCACATCTGCAGACATTTCCTCTGTGTCAGGCCGGAGACACAGTGATGGCTGCCATGAATAAATTCTCATTTATTAAAGTTGTCCTCAGACTTGGCTAAAGAAAAATGCCCCAAATGATCAATTGCAGGGGTTGCTGTGCCAAATCACCTTCTTCTCTGGCACAGAAAAAGAGACCCATCTCTTACAGCCCCTGCTGTTACAGTTCGGTTTCACCAGATCATTTTTTCCCTACCAAATATATTTTTGTAACAAAGCCAAGTAACACTCAGAGAGGTTAGGTAACTTGGTCAAGGTCACACAGCTAAGAAGTAGCTAATTTGGGACAAGAATCCAGATTTCCTGATAGGGGGGCTAGTACCTGTCTGAAGGACATTAGCCTGGGACACTTCTGGGCTGGGACACCTCAGGGCTGTAGGACATAGATAGGCTAGAGACCAAGAGAGAGCTGAACTACTTGGAAATTCCAAAAACTTTTCTCTTAGAGCTCTTAAGAATCATCTAATTCATCCCATTCCCAATTAGACAGATGGGTAAGGCCAAGACCCAACAAAAGGAAGTAACTTGTAAGAAGTGACAGAATCAAGACCAGAACCCAAGCCTGCCAATTTCATCATTCAACTGAGCTTAAAGAGAAATATGCAAAAGCTGTTAAAGAGACAGCAAAGCAATCAATTCACAGGATACTTTTTCCTTTAGTAGGTCTAGGCCATGCATGAAAAAGGAAGTTTAGCTAGGAATACATGTCCACAAGGAAACAGAAGCAACAACAGAAAGCATCAGTCCAGGCAGCAGTTGCATTAACACCAAGAATTCAGAGGCAGCTGAGGGCAGCAGTGTTGGAGGCTCCCTGGATGAAAGGCAAGTACAGCTGGGCTTTTGCGGCACACACAGGAGTCCAAAGGGTGCACAGGAGGAAGTATTTCAGTCTAGGAAAGTGTTTCAACTTATAAAGGGAGTTGGTTTTATGTTTTGGTTTTTGTTGTTGTTGTTGTTGTTGTTGTTTGGGTTTTGGTATGAGAAGAAGTAAAAATGGCAGATGAAGACCAGCTCTTGGGGGCTGGAGAATGCTTAGGTGCCTGGCCAGAGCTTCTGAACTTGAACTTGGACCTGTAGAACAATAGGTCTCAAACTTGTTGAGGAAAAGAGCATGAAGAAGCCTCCACGCGTAAGCAGGCACTCTCCGTGCCATCACACCCACGGACGATGTTACTGCTGGCAAACAGGGCTCCTGCTCTAAGTCTGCAGGACAAAGACAACACCACCAAGAGCTTTTTGAGCAAAAGAAGCTCTCAAATCCAACAGGATCGGTCTCTTCTGGATCTTCCTGGTAACAGTCATCAGCCTTGTTTGCATCTTCAGTTTTCTGCAAACGTGTGTGGAGCGTGACAACAGCAAAGGTGTCACTGGTATGGACAAGACACTGGGGAAGAGAATCTTAAAAACAGAGGAGATTCTGAGACTTCCTACTTATCAAATTTAGGAGAGACAATCTTATCAAGACAGAAGCCTGAGAATGTCATAAAGAGAAGCATCAGGCTGAGGCTCAGCTTCCCTCTCAAAATGAAAGGGCTGGAGCAAGGAGGAGTATCTGAGAGGAAGCTTTGGACAAGCGAGCTCCCTAGATGCCTAGTCTGGCACCTCTGCATCGCCCACACCCATTACACAGGCAAGGACTGGGAGGTTGGTTCTGCAATCCGTCGCCGCAGTTCTATGAAGCTCAGAGCGTAGCTTGAAGTGGGACCAGCCGAGTAACCATCAGAGTCAGAAAAGGCCAGGACCAGCCTGGAGTTCTGAGAAGCCATCTCTACACAGTCTTGAATAAGAACATGATGTTGCTGGCACTCACAGACATTGGTTCAGATGCCTGAGATGCTTTGGTCCTCGTCTAGGGCTCACCATGAACCACTGCAGGCTCCTCAGGCATCCCTACTTCTCAATTTCAGTCTTTGGGGGAAAAGGTCAACCTTTTTCTTTGAATAAAAGCAACTCTCAAACCAAGCAGTATCAGTCTTTCTGATATTCCTGTGAACACGTGGGTCACCTAGCCAGGAAAGGACAGCACCCAGTGCCCAGAATGTGGGCTTCGATGAGCTGGCAGGGGCATGGGGCCCTCGTAGAGTCTGTGTGTCGTGTCCCTGTTGCCTGCGGGAGCTGGGAGGTCACCAAAAGTCGAATGTAGTAGCCACCAAACACCGCCAGCAACTGCCGGGCCATTTCCTAGAAAGAGCAGAGAGACAGTGAGGCTCACAGAGTAGCCAATGTAGGAGTGGGCAGGTGATGCATGACAGGAAACCCAAGCTGTCCTCACACCAACGGACCAGAACCAAGGCTCCCGGGAAGACTGCACTTCCTGCTCTGAAGCCCACCCAACTATCACAGCCCCAGTGTCCTCATCCCGGATGTGGGGAACGCCCATGCTGACAAAGGATAGTAATGTGCACAGACGGGCCATGTTACCCGTGCAGCACTAGAAAATGAGAAAATCGGTTTGCATGTAGTCAGCTGCAGGCATATGCTTTTTCCAGTTTCAAATGTTGTTGGTCACGGTCAAGGGCTCTGACTAAGGGCAACCTTATGCTTAACAGAGCAAATAATTGCAGGGTTGTACCATCTTCACCATAGCTGGTAGGTTTGAGTCATTGTTGCAATGACTGTGTCAGTCCATCCCACGGAGGGTTCTCTCTCTCTCATTTTCCTTGACCCTCTGTTTGGTCAAACATGGCAGGAAATTTAAAAAGTCCATGAGGTCAAGCTAACTCCACTCAAAGAAAAAACTCATTAAATGAGGGGGGTTGCGTGCTGGAATATTCACAATCACCAACAGTTTACAAGGTGCACAAGGTACTTTGCAGGTTTACCTTAGCAAGTACTCCTCATCTGTTAAAGAATATGCTTTAAAAACTGAATTGGATGCATACACACTCAAATGCATTTTGCCCTTAAAGTCAAGTTCACTGGCTAAGCAGTTCAAATTACAAAGAAATGCATACATTTCTTAAGAGTGGATTAATGGGCCTTCCCAAGTACCAACATGAATTTAATAACAGGTGGGTTACATTGAGGCTATTTATAGCTGTTGAGTTAAGAATTAAGAATAAGGTTTAGAGTAAAAAGAACCCACAGGGCAACTGTCTCAGAGGCACTTAGGAACCAGCTCTGTGAGTTACACCACCTTGCTGAGCCCATTTCTTCATCAGTCAAGGGGGGGAGATAATAGCGGCCACCTCGCTGAATTGGAGAATTAAAGGATCAAATGTACCTAGTGCTCCAGAATTGTGATCAATACCATTATCTTCATCATTACTATTCAGAAGAGCAAAACTGCCACTTGCTCATGGTGGATCCACTTTTCATTTGAATTGTCCTTTGTGCTGGATAATACTAAAAATTTCAAATATTCTACCACTTACCAGCTCATATTGGTTTTCTTGCTAATTCGCTCCAAAATCAATAACGTGCGAAGCAAAGAACTGTGGCAAGAAAACGGTCTACTTAAAATCAAAAAAGCGAGCCTGCTGCCCTTGGCTCTGTTACAGTCTCCTTTGTTCTGTGACCTTGGGCGAGTCAGCTGGCCTCTCCCAACCTTATTTTGCTCTTCAGGGAAGGAGGAAATATAGTCCCCACCTCTGAGGACATGCTAACCTGTTTTCAGAATGACAAAAATCTGTAAAAATGTAAGAGATTATTATAGCTATTTCTGTGCCTTTCAAGCTCCAACTCGCCCATTGAATTCATTTTGCCTAGTCAAGTAATAAGGGCAACCACTTTAAAAGCACATGCACACACACTGAGAGATGATATTCATGACAGGAAATTGTATAGGTTTGGATGAGTTTGAAAAAATTATTTCAAAGACCTGACTTTAATATGTTTTTACACATAAATCTAGGCATGCATGCCACAGTAAAGTATGTGATCTTGCCAATCCTTTCTGCTCATTATAAACAGTGAGTGGGATTCAAGTAAGGAGCTTGTTAAATTTATTTTCAGGGTCTCCACTTCCTGCCACCACAAAGGGTAAAGCCTGGGCTGGTCTGGGCCTTTGACCCCCAAACCACTTTACTGAAAATCAAGTGCACTCCTTGATCATGCCAGACCTGAGTTTATACCACCACCCCATCACCTTGACAGCAGCACCATCTCCACAATGAGAAAGAGATAGTACAGACTGCAAACCACACTATCAAACTTCTGGTCAACCAGTGCTGGCTACACCTAAAAGACAGTGTGGGTGACTAGGCTCAGGAGACTTCAAAGGCTGGAGGAACTGAAATTCAACGGAAGTGCATAGAGGAACCCAATATCCAACTGTCAGATGAACAGATGGTTGGATGGGTGGGTAGATGATTGATGGGCAGATGAAAAGGCAGAAAAACCCATGGATAGAGAATCAGAGAGAAGAACAGGTGAACCCACAGATAGATTTGCTCATTTTAAACAAGGTATGACCTATCAACATGCCCATCCAATACAACTATCAAAAGAAAATCCATAATTAAAAAGAAAAAAACCCACTAAACAAAAGAGAATTTTCCTGTAAAATTACTTTAAAGCATGCTGAAGTAAAGAAAAAAAAATTGATAACCATTGGACTAAGGGTTTTATATGGTCTCTACCAACCTAAGAGAAGCCATGTCCACACAAATCTAGAACTGAGAGCCCCACAGGAGGGCAACCCTGATTGACTGCAGTGCCCATTATTACCCTCCTCACCCCCACTGGCAACAGCGTCCATTACCTCTGGTTCGGCATCAGGAACAAGCTGGCGAAGCTCCGTCTGTACGAGTGGCCTCCCGGGAGGCTGAGAGCTACTGGGCAGGAGAGGGGACTCCTCTGTCAGGTTCTCAGGCCCCTCTGGTGTGCTGGGGCTCACCCCAGTCTCCATGACAACACACAGCTGGCTCAATCTGTTTCTCAGCAAAGACTGCAAAGGAAATGGAGAAGAATCTTGGGTTGTGAAATAAATTAGGTGTCATCTGGGAGGCTGAGTCACCTCCCAGCAGAGGTCAAATCCATCTACAGATTCTGATGCTGATGCAGAGGTATGTAGAACTGATCTGAGGTGGTGAAATCATATCATCCCCGTGAAGATACAATCCTTAATCGCCTCTGAGGCACCTTCCATTCCATTTTCTCTTCAAAGCAGCCTAGGATGCAGTTATCTTTCCCTATCTGATACAAATGAACAAACTCAAGTTCAGAGGCCTTGTCCAAGGCCACCCAGGAACTAAAAAGACCAGAAAGAGGGTTAAACCACAGTCCTAACCGTAGGACTTCCAGGACCTAGGAAGAAGCTGATGCCAGGGGAGGAGCTCAGGACTCAAGACAAGGGGGCTGGACCCCAAACCTAGATACCACCAAAAGCTCTGTGATCCTACAACACTGAAGCTGAGGTTTCCTCATCTATAAAATCAGAGTAAGATCTGCCCAGTGGTAGAATTTCTTTGTAAAGAGAAGAAATTTTAAAAAGAAAACAAACCAATACACACTTCTAAATATATGAAACTATCCTCTGGCAGAATTTTTATTACTATTAGTGAAGGGAGCTCTGGTGGCCTAGTGCTAAGAAACTGTGCTGCAATTGTGAAGGCATGCAGTTCAAATCCATTAGCTGCTCCACAGGAGAAAGGAGGCAACCTCCTCCCATGCGATTGAAACTGCCTCTGAAAATCCACTGGAGGCTCAGCTATGGGTCAGCTCCACCTTGATGGTAGACAACACAACAACAACAGTGATTATAAGGGAATTCTGGTGGCCCAGTGGTAAGAAGTTTCATTGTCAACCAAAAGGCACATGGTTCAAATCCACCAGCAGCTCTGCAGGAGAAAGACAAGTCCTTTCTTCTCATGCACACTATATATTGTTCCTGAAAACCCACTGGAGGATCAGCTGTGTGTGCGCTGGTTCCAACTCAATGACACATAACATGAGAAACAAATGATTATAAAGAAATATATGCTTGAGAGGATCCTGGGGGTTCAGTAGCTAAAGAATCCAGCTGCTTACCCAAAAAAAACCACATACTTCCCACAGGAAATGTGGAAACCATAATGAATATATTTTTTTAAATAATTTTAATGAACATTTACAGAGAATTTGGATTTCCATTCATTCATTGCTGCACTTCTCT